GGAAGTTTATGCAGTGCTGGCAACTAAAGAAAAGGATCAGCGCGTTAAACGACTGACCAGAGCTCTAAGGCACCAAGGATGTCAGCACACAGCGCTGATTTATGCACGGATAGACCCTTCCCATATAAGTTGTTATATAGAGCCAGATTGCATAACCAACAACCCCTTTGAGTCATTCCAGGTTAGAAGCGCCTCTTCCATCATGGCGACAGCTTTTGCCACAGCTGTATCAGCAGTGCTGTGGGAATGCCTCAGGCTTGACTCTCACACGGCATGTTGTCGTTTCTTAATGCAGCGAGCAGTCGATGCAAACATTCTCCTCCGCAATCAGTGATGTGTGAATTAGGAGTTGCTTTTCAGAAGTGTTTATGCGTTAATGTTTAGTTGGTTATGTTTCTCTATTACGACCTCAGGAAAACCAACTGTTAGAAACTGGGAAGCTCGGGTTAAAACCAAGATGTGGGCGGGATGGAAAAAGGGCGAGCATTGTTAGTGAGTGTGAGGCTCAGGTTCCTGTCAGTCTACTAAGTAAGTTGTGATTCTAAGTAATACTCTAATTCTCTACATTTTGTCCAATTGGTCTCTGGATTCTGACTCTGACTTCTGCAAATCATCAGCATCAACCGATAGACACCCACGTTTCATAAAACCCATGGATATTAAGAATAGAAGTGGATCCAAAATGGATCCCTGGGGGATGCCACATTACACAGATTTCCGTTCAGCAGACAGGAAGAAATCAATCTTGCGCACTACCAGCACATTTTTTCCCAGGTCATTTCTCCCTTTCTGCCTGTGAAAGAAGATCTCAAAAATAGAACTTTCATCACATTTCACTTGAAAGTATGACAATTCTTAAAAGTAGTGCCACTATACTGGGAGAGCTACCAGACACTACTTCAGCTAGAGGACAAATCCACATCAAATCTATGTTTGGAGAATACTTTTCTCCTTAGTGCACATTTACAGCCTTCTAGTAGCCGGAGGTGCAGTGTTCATTCAGTCTTTTTCACTTCTGTCATTTGCTCTTCTTTGCTTAACCACAGACTCCCCTCTGTATCTTCCGCAGATACGTGTCGGCCCTGACGACGCCAGCCCGCCTCTCCCCGGTGGATTTCCATTACTCATTGCCCTCGCAGGTGCCTACCTTCCAGATCACATGCCCCAATGCCAGCCATGCCATGTCTCTCCCTCCTGCTGTCCACAACCCCTACCCTCTTGAGGATGACCAGCCTCTGTTGCGCCGCTATCAGGTGCCCCTACACGACGCCCAGTGCCAGGAGCCGTACCGGCAACAGCGTCGTACCTATCTAAATGACAGCAGGGGCAGCCTGCCCTCCAGCCCCTACCGGCTGGCTAAAGAAGAAGACTATGAGACCACCCAGGAGTATCTCTCCTCTCGGGAGCAACCAAAGAGAAGTGGGTCCAGTGGGACTGGTAACCGGCGCTGGCAGAGGTCCAGACTAAATGGCCATGTGGCCCCGCGTGGATATGAGGCCTCTCGGGACTATGGGTCCAGGAGCTGCCTAACAGATAGCGAGTCGGAGGAGGACGGTGAGAGCACGCCCTTCCTCAGTATGCAGAATATGAACGCCGAGCCCTCCACCATCTACAGGCCGGTGGACAGTCGGACTTCTCACTCGTCGGGGCGGCACAGTGGGCATGGAAACATGCATACGAGACTTACACACTCACGCTCCAAACCGGACAATACACCCCATTAAAGAGTGAAAATGAACCAAGAAAAATCAATATCGTATAGACCTGCATCTATAAGAAATATTTTTATTTTATATAACTGACAGATATTCTAAACAAATGAAATATTTATTTTCATTTTAGCAAAAGTTGTCTACTAGTTAACAGCAAAGACTTTTTTATAGGGAAAACTCTATTTATATGTACATTTTGATTTACAGCATAAAAAGATGTGCCAGTTTTTTCACAACGTTAAAAAATAGAGTAATATTGTGGTGCCTTTTGCTGTATGCCGATGCCAGAGGGCCAGTGGAGGTTTTTGTAGCCTTTCTTATATGGACGCCTCATTTTTATACACGTTTATGTTTTTTTTTCCTCTCTGGTTTCCTGTTTTAAGTTGTATTCTTTAAGGAGTCTAGCCCTACTGGAACATAACCCCTTCCGTGTCACCCAATATAAACCACTTCAACATAAAGTGTATGTTTACATTAATATGATTTGCCTGTAGGCTCTATGATTTGGGATCTGGTAAATACAATGTAGATCCTTTTTGCCCTGTGACTAATGTCTAAGTAGAGATAGAGGTCGTATGGCTGTGTGTGTGTGTGTGTGTGTGTGTGTGTGTGTGTGTGTGTGTATGTGTCTGCGTGTGTGTGTGTGTGTGTATGTGTGTGTGGTGTGTGTGTGTGTGAGAGCACAGTCAGCCTGCATGGTATTTGTGATCGTTAGAAGATGGCGGTTGTTTGGCGGTCGGGACATCAAGCGGCGTGGATCGACTAGTGTCTCTGCAAAGAGGAGGAAAGAGTGTGGCAGAAGTTCACTAATTAGTGCTTTAACAGAACAGTGCCCCCCCGCCCGTCCCCCGGCGTAGGTGGAGAAATAAGGCTGCTGGAGGGTTGTGTGTTATGCAGCTCCTTCCTTGATATTCCTAAAAGCTATTTTGCCCATTCCCCGGCCCAGCTAAGCCCCCTTTTATTTCCCAGCAGGCTTTCCCTCATGTTAGTCTATCATGAGGCCAACAAACAGTGGGCCGCCCGGCAGAGGGTGACCCCTGCCATCAGGGGTGACGGCAAAACAAAAAGATTGCATCTGTTTTCACTCAGCTCAGCCCCATGGTCCCATGCCTCGTCATCCTTCTGTGTCCATTCTGTTTTCTGTGGCTTGTCTTAAAGGCCACACAGTGTCTCAGGATTTCCACATGCCCCCCCCCCCCCCCCCCCCCCCCACCCCCGCCCCCCGCCCCCCGCATCCTCCCGCCCCTCCCCCACCCCCTCCACCGTAAACGCCATCCACCCTCTTCCTCAGCTTAACGTCTACCCCAAGACTAAGGTTTCTCAGTTAAAAAGCAAATCGGCCTACATGTTAGCGTGCAGCCTACCGGTTCCCCCGAAGCGTCCCACACAGAGAGAGGCAGAGCCAAGTGGAAGCAGCCCAGCGGAGATCAGCTGCGACAGCAAACTAGACAATATCAACAAAGTAGCTGTGAAACTGTGGAGGATCATACAATGCAAAAATATGCAAACTTTCTATTTTGCTGATTGATTACATCATTTTCTAAGAGGTGACTGTAGTGTGTTGGAAAAAAAAACGATGTGATGCCTGTAGTTTAGAATGATATAAATGCGTATTTACATTTTTTAAAGCCATTATGCAGCCATCTTTGATGTTGTCAGCCTTTCTTGTTCACATACTCACAGCCGCTGAATGACTGAATTGTTTCGTCACTTGGCTCAGACCGCTTTATTTTACATGCACTCTTCCAAGTAATGTCGAATAGCATCCGTGTTTCCTCCGATAGAACTGTGGACCACTTTGTCTTGTTGACAGATCTAGTCATTTCAAATTTATTGTGTAAACGAGAATTTGAGAAGTAAAACATTTATACCCCGCCGTCCTCCACTGAAGGGAAAGTAAATATTTCAGAGGAAATTCAAAGAACGTCAAATCCCTTTTTGAAGCGAGAGAGAACAGTAGATAGCTGCATCGCTGTTGTGAGTTTCTACCTGAATTATCCGATTGGTATTGTTTTCAAAACATTTTTAAAAGGTAGAATTTGCAGATCTAACGACTAAATGCTAAATGCACAGTGGTGTTGTTACATAGAAAGGTCTTTGGTCACACCTCACTTGCAGATATCTCATTGAGTTTCTCACGTCTGGGTCTAATTTTGTATGTCTGAAAAATGTAAAAGAAGACCGTGCTGCTCTGGTTTCACTTTGCCAATCCCCTCACCTAAACGAGATGCTGCCGGGCGCGTCCCGCCAGCCTCTTCTGTTTGATTTTATGACCCCACCCCCTCAACCCCCCACTCCCTCACCTGACCCCACCCCCGCTTGAAATGTTTGAACACCTCTCCTCTGCATGTCCTTGTGGTCACGGTTTGATGGGTGCATGGTTAAAAAAAAAAAGCAGCAGACGATTATTTTCCAGTCGGTGAAAGTGTATTTCATTTAACATTCAGCAATAAAAAAAAGACCCTTTCCCACATGTCATTCCTGAAATATGCTAGAAAAAAAAAGCGAGATTGTCATAGATTGTAAAATAAAATGAAAAATGAATCCACCTGTTCATATGAGAAAATAAATCTTTATTCATATCATTTTACGATGTAGTTATTTCTGTAGAAAGCGTTCACTTTAATCCATCTTTTAAATTGACTTAATGTTTGCAAACGATACACAATGTGTCTCAGGAGAAGAGCAGGGGAATAAGTGATCGGGAGGCATGGGACAGATTAATGGTGGTAGTCATGATCTCTCAAATTGTACTCAACTCATACAGTGAGCACAAAAAGAGAAGAGCATTACGTAACATTTCCTGATGAATTTAAATGGTAATTACAACATTTATACGTCTCCTGAGATTATTTTTGATATTCAGAACAATTTCCTAAGAACCGTTCATCATTTAAGACCAGTGTATTGGTAAAAGTGTCCTGATGTATTATGACACATTTTAGAAAACGTATTCTTAGAATGTAGCAACTACGGCCGCAGATTTCACTTTACATATTTACATTTATTAAATCTAGATTCTTTATTCATTCACCAGTATTATCATTTCGCAGTAGCATATATTCTCCACTAGATGGGGCCATAACCGCAGGAATTATTCCTGACTCACCAGATGACCTTCCATTTTGCATGGGTGAGTTGTGCTCTATTGTATCCAGTCATATGTCCTCATTTAATAGAAGCACACTTGATAGGTGATTGGGGGAATGAGCTGGAAGAGCTGCTGAGCGTGCACTTCTCCGAATGCAGTTTGAGAGCAAACGTGAAAAAAAATCTAAAGTCCTTTAATTTCCTTATCCATTGTATTTATTTAATGTCACCTTATAAAATATTAAATGATTTCATTCAAGTTTGATCCATCCAGCGTGATTCATTGACCATACTCATCCCATTGCATCATGGGATACCTCCCCGAGCTCTGTTGGCTCAACACAACGACTAACGACATTTAAACCTTCCTGGAACAAATAATCATAGAGGATATTCATTGTTAGATTTGTTAGTTTAATAAAGTCTCTATAACGAATCAAGTTGTTCCAGAATGGATTACTGAGCTTCTGAGACAGACTTTGTGGGAAACATGAAGCTACATTTGTGACCAATCAGTCGGTCCCAGTGCAATGTGGGTGTATGAACTTCCGTTCACTGGAGATATAAAAAGAAGCAGTAACTGCAGAAGACATTATAGAACTCTTGGAGAAAAAACATCTTTGTTTATAAACCAGTGAAAGCCTAGCACATAGGACGCGGTGAAGGTTTATATACAAACACAGATATTAAAAATATGATCCAAATCCAGACTAAAAGCCCTCAAAGCTGCTGTATAACAAACGGACAAAGATCTGTTTGTCTGCAGCTTTTCATTTCACTGAATTGACCTGTCCAATAATAACGTTTTAACTCCAATTGTCCAACGCTTATCGAACGAATCAACAGGCTGAACAAAAAGCAGTACCCACTCAACTTGCAATAACATGTCAGCAAATAAATCATCAACAATCCAGACGCCCTCAGGCAACAGGCTTCAGAAGATTTGCCCCGGTGTCTTGCAGGACCATTGTTTCCTTTGGTGGCTTTTTGGAGATTCTCCCGGATCCCCTGTGTTCATGACAGAAAAACGAAAACACGGATAAATCTGTTTCTCCCTCCCAACCGCCGCTGCTTTTTTCTGCAGTAATCCATACATTCAATGGTGATACAATAAATTCCTGACCTAAAGCCGTCCCGTGAACTGATTGGATGTTTGGATGTTGGACCTGGCAGAGACTTGAGAAAATAGCGGTCTTCTAGACAATTACCTGTCTTCCACGTCCTGTATTGTGTCAGGAAGGGGGGAGCCAAGTGTTTCTGGAAGAAACATTGCAGCCACGCCGCTGAGAATCGGAGCTCCGCCGTAGATCAGACCTGGGAGCCAGGGTATGTAGTCGGCGGTGAGAAGCACCATAGGGGACACCATGGCCCCTACACGCGCCATCATGGATGCCCAGCCCATGCCGTTCTGACTGAGAGACAAAGAAAACAGCCGTGACGAAGCGCTTCCCTTGGGTCGGTGTTTGTGGTGCTGCTGATAAAGTAAATATGCTACTCATTAATATGGGAAGAATGTTTGACAGGGACGAAGGAGGTTCAAGTTACTGTTAAGCCGAAGTGGATAAGATGGATGTGGGTTATTTGTTGGTGTGGCACGTCACATTTTAAGGACTTTGTAACTGAAATGGAAGCGATGGCTCAACGTGGATTGTTTGCTGGTGTCACATTTCAGTAGAAGCTGGCTCATACGGGTGTTTGTGTACGACGGTGGCAAAGACACGCCGCCGGCAGCACTTCTGCCAGGACACGTTTGCGTCAACAAGAGAAGGCAGCAAATAACAGCCAAGCCAGTGGACAAAACATTGCTATTGAATGGATAGAACACAGTCCATCAAAACATTATGAGCCTCTTTTATTCGGAACCGAATAATCCACAAACAAGAACCAAAAGCTCTGAGAATCAAGCATTTGTGACGAGGAAGTCATTGAGTTTCTCGTGATCCTACGCTGTTCTCTGCTCACAGGCGGTAGATAGTGACTGTGTTTATCTTGATTTACTCATCTGACCCTCTGACCTCCTGTTTGCTCTGCTGTCCGCGTGACCACAAAACACACAGAAAACAGCCTTTCTTTGCTGTGTTTTTTTCCGTTATGTGTTGCTTCCATGTGCGGATGATGTATTTGTTGCAGCCTAACTGTCAAACCTTTTCTATCTTCCGTATAAAACGTACGTATGAGTTGCATCCAGACCTCGGAAGCGTTGTCTTTTTTCAAGATTGTTCAATGAAAAACAATTCACAAAATCCAACAGCAAAGTTCATTCTCAAACTGAAATCAATTCCTAAATAAAAAACTATATTTAAATGTATCATATGTAATAAGACTTACCGAATGATGGTCGGGAACAGTTCTCCAGAGTAAAGGAAGCAGCAGTTGAAAGAGGCCGCCAGGCAACCTTTACCCATCACAGCCAGACAGGTGCGCGCCGTCTGCTTGTCTACGCGGGAGTGAAACACGCATCAAATCACGCTGTTGTCGCGTTAGTTTAGTGTTTAAGTTCTGCTCCCGTGTTCTAACGCACCGTAAGGTACCAGCAGGTTGATCAAAATAGTGATCCCAGCAATGATCAGAGAACCCATTTGTGATTGTCGCCGTCCGATTAAACTCATAGACACAGTCACGATGATTTTGGCGGGGATGTCGACAGCTCCAAAGATGACTTGGATTAAGTAGATGTCCACCCCGAACTTCTGCAGATCCATAGAAAGACCATAGTAGGCGAAGCTGGTTGATAACCTGAAAAAGAAATAGAAAACAAACAGCATGCGATGTGTCATTGCAATTTCATGCGAGCTGCATACAAACTGTCATTGAATTAGTCTTGAACAAGGGCGGGACAAGTACCAGACGGCGCTGAGGCAGACTGTCATCTTCCTCATTGTGGGGGTGCGGAACAGATCCAGAACAGAGTAGGAGCCCTGAATACTAGACATCTCTTTCTTCATGGACTCCTGCAGCATCTATGCATGAAGAAGACCGTTGTCTCTGTTCAAAATGCTTTTTATACGTAATTACAACCACAAATAGATGGATTCAGACAAACACACCACCATCACTTACTTCAACGGTGAGTTTCTCTCCCTCCTCATGCCGTCCGTTAAATTTGGCAACACTTTTGAGGTTCTTGATGGCTTGTTCAGGCTTATTGCTCAGAGCTAACCACCTTGAGGATTCATGGAACCACCTGCGTGAGGCCTTTGTTTAGTTTACGCTCACAGTGCAAAAAATAAATCTCTCTGAGCGCCGCATCTTTGCCACTCACCATGCGATGAGGAAGAAGACGTAGAAGGGCAAAGACACAGCCAGGGTCAACCACCTCCAGTCCCGGATGAAGTAGGCGATGAGGGCCAGGATCAGCTGCCCCACCGTGTAACAGTAACCTGTTATTGTGCCCACCCCAGTTCGAATACGAGTGGGGATCCACTCCACAACTTGAAATGAAAGAACAACAGAACAAGAGAATTTTTTGCACAAATAGTACACATCCGCCCGCACGCTGCCTGCATCCAAATGAAACCATTCTCCACTGATTGCGGCTGATTTCTCTTACTGAGCGAGAAGGTGTTGAGCCCCATCCCGGACAGAGCCATTCCACAACCAAATCGGAACAGGCAATAAAGGGGGAAGGAGGGAGAGAAAGCCGTGCACGTTCCCGCAACCGCCATCAGCAGGTTGGAAATGATGAGGAGGATGCGACGGCCAAATCTGGGATCAAGGGGTATTTTTGCAGAGAGTCAGGTCAGTGTGTATTGCGTTGCGTGACTTGAATAAAATGTAATTTACTTTAGCAATACTGCATACTTTAGAGGCAAGGTGTCTTGTGCGACAAATGTGTTTAAAGGACACATTGATTGTGCCAGATGTGCCTCTTGAGCAGCGATGAAATGTTACCTGTCTGACATACTTCCAAAAAGAAGAGCTCCCACAAGCACACCTCCCATGTAGACCGTTTGTCCCATTTGCTTCAGAGAGCGCTGATCACACACCAAATCCCACTGGTGAAAACGTAACATAATTCAACACACTTGACAAGGAAAACATTTACTCTTGGGGAAGAAAAAAAAAAGACGGCACACGTGATCCTACTTCGGATATGATGGTGGAGGTCATCTCAGTCATGTTGTAGGACCATCCGTCCGTGCATCCCTGCAGATCAACGTCCAACCCACCATTAGCGGTGCCATTGTCCCCTGAGCCGTAAGTCCCATTCCTAGTCGTAAGGTGCCACTGGGGAGCTACGTACCGCTGGCAGCTCTTTGGATTTCCCTTCTGGTCCAGCGGCACTGTAAGCAACAGGGTTTCCTCCGGGCTCAGCCGGGTCCGGGACAGGTTCGTGTGTGCGCTGCAGAAGTGAGGAGGCACCGCGGCCACAAAGTTCTGCAGAAGGTTGTGACTGGCCATCATGAAGACCGGTATGGAGAGAAGGGTCACATGCACGATCTGGAACCGTCCTGTGCTCCCCACCTGCTCGAGGAGGTCCCCAAACGTCATAGTCTTGTGCCAGCAGAACCCCACAAGGTGACTTAATGTTAATCGCACTTGATAGTGTCCTTCAGAACCGTACGTGCAAAAATGAAAGCAGAGTAGGACGTTCTAGCATCTGTAAAAGTAATGAGTAAAATGTCAGTTTACAGAGCAAAGCAAAGTATTTATGCATATTATGCATTTGAAGGCGTTACATCAAAATACCAAATTTCAAGACTTACCCTTGAGTTAATTTTCTCTTGTTTCATCAAACATACAAAAAAAAACTGTCCTAAAAATTCCGATACAATTTTTCCATGAAGGGGTCCTTTAAAAAAGTTTAAAAAAATCAAAAAGACATGTAGAGTGAGTGGTCTTTCTGCCGCAGTCTGTTAAAGTGAGTAATCGGCTCTCAAATTCCAACAGCTCCTGAGACCTTTGGATTATAAGTGCGTTGTAAACTGGAGGTATTAGCACGTCTCTGAACACTGAGGTAGAATGCAGCGTCCTGCCGGTACAGGAGCAATGGCTGGCTGAAGGGTTTCAGTGACAGCGAGCCCCGGCATGAAGTGTGGTGACATAACCAGGGTCGGCTCTTTCCCTCTTTGTACTCAGACACAATCCCTCCTGTTTATTGATTATGTAATGAAGCACAGGGTGAAAGTTGATGCAAAAGGAAAAATACACCCTTGCCTGTCTGCAAAGATATGTGTGACTGTTTTGGATGTGAATGTTCCAACATTTTATTTCAATTCAATTCATTTTTTTATTTGTACAGCCCAAAAGACTACAGGCACAAGACTAAAAAAGCTCAAAGGATGTTGGTCTTGGTTACGGTTTACGGTATTTTCTCTATGTGTTTGCAGCAACCCTTTTGCTCTTTTCATATAAAGAAAGTCAGTCCCCTTTACACGCTTCTTCACATTACAGATCATTTTTGTCTTGCTCAGGGACACTTTGACATGGAACATGGGGCAGCCTGGACTCGAACTACCAACCTTGTGCTACCCAGCACACTTTCTCTAACCCCCGCGCCACAACGACCCCAGCACTTTGGACCTGCTGTGTCAAGATTAAACCCTTCCCTAATAAATAATCAAAAAGGGCTCACACACAACCCCCCCCCGCCCCCCCACCGTAAGGATAAACGTGTCTAGTTTAGATGAAGAGGCCGTAGGGAAAAATGTTGTGTCGGCTTTGATTCTGTAATTGTGCAATAAACAAATCCATTAAATGGGTGTAAGTAAAGACCAGGTTGCCCAGGCTTGATCGACCCGAAGTCATGTCCACGAAAAACAAATATGGGAAAGTGAGTTGCCAACCTCTGGACAAATGAGTAGACAAATGTGGTTGTCCTGGTGGAGGGTCATTCGGTCTCTATGAGAAGAGTCACTTCTGCAAACAGCTGCCGTGTCACAGGGTGAGGTCAAGTTGGGTTTTTGTCGGCATGTTTTGGTCTTGTCATTTCCGTTTTATTTTGAAAGTAGTAACCTTCCTCTCGTTTCAGGTCACTTGCCCTTCCTCATGTCACCAGTCGAATCGTCTCCCCTGATTCCTAATTGTGTCCACCTGTTTCCCATTACCCTCATGTGTCTTATAGTCTGCGTCTCCCTTTGTCTTGTGCCTGAGTGTACCACCATGCGATCACCCAAGCCTCGCCACAGCCACAGGATTTGTTAATACCAATGCCTTGTCTCGGAATGATTACCCCTTTATGTTTTTCCTCTGAGTAAGAGTGACCTTTGTTGGAGCTTCTTAGTTTTAGTTTTAGCGCGCTTTCGAAGCCGTTCGTTTTCCTCGATTAAGAGAGATTTTAGTTTGTTAACTTTCGTCGGAAACACTGATAGCTCATAGCCGTTTGTTTGTTTTTTACGACGCGAATAAAGACGCCAAACCCTCTGCATCTGAGTCCTCATTTTTATCTGGTCCTGACAGAACACTCAGGCCAGTATGGACTCAGCAGAGGCAGAACAGATGGCGGCAGCCCTGGGTGCCCAAGATGCCCGTCTTTCCCGTCAGGAGGAATTCCAGACGTCACTGGCTTCCCACATAAGCCTACTCTCATCCCAAATTCAGGGTCTGCGTGACCTTTTCGTCCAGGACACCACAGCCCCCAGGGCCCCGACAGTAGAGGCTGCTCCTCCCCCGACAGCGGTTGTCCATGGGTCTGGAGGAAGGTTAGCCCCCCCTGAGAAATTTGCGGGGGAGCAGGGACTATGCAAGACCTTTCTCATTGACTGTTCTATTCATTTTGAACTGACTCCTCATGCTTTCCCCACCGAAAGGTCCAAGGTAGCATTCATGATGACCCACCTGACCGGCAGGGCCAAAGCATGGGCCTCGGCAGAGTGGGCTCGTGACTCCCCACTCTGCTTTTCCCTCACCGAATTTAAAGCAGCCTTACAGAGGGTTTTTGACCCAGTGTCGACCGACCGCGAAAAGGCTCAGGAGCTGAGCAGGTTGAGGCAAGGCGACAGCTCTGTCTGTGACTACGTCATACACTTCCGCACCTTGGCTGCAGAGAGCGGGTGGAACTCCACCGCCTTGTACGATGTGTTCCTGAAGGGGCTGGGTGCTCCTGTTCAAGACCTCCTGGTGCCTTTGGATCTACCCCCAGATTTAGACTCTCTCATCGCGCTTGCCATCCGGACGGATAACCGGCTCCGCCAACTCAGACGAGATCGGAGCAACAGCTCTGCTACGGCTGAGGGATACCCACGCTCCCGTGCGCCAGGCGGGCCAGACCCCCAACGCGCTCCGCCCGACCAGCCGGGGCCTTTCACCACGGAAGAAGGGGGGGAACCTATGCAGCTGGGGAGGGCCCGGCTGACCACGGGAGAGCGACTGCGACGACAGCAAGAAGGGCGGTGCTTTTATTGCGGGGATTTGGCCCATCTTGTTGCGGGCTGTCCAGCCAGGAGACCCACAGTGGTGAGACAACTCGCTGCTCCAGGCTCTGCTTCCCGAACCCTCACAGCAGTCAAGGTAATGCACCACACCACCACAGGACTTGAGGCGCTATTAGACTCGGGGGCTGACGCGAGCTTGTTGGACTGGGGACTAGCGGAGAGACTCGGTATCAAGTCCGAACTCTTGGTAAAGCCTATCCAAGCCAAGGCCCTCAACGGAGCTGAACTGCTCACCATCACCCACACCTCCGAACCTCTCGAAATGCACATAAAGAACCATAAAGAGATCATTCGTTTTTATTTATTTCAATCCCCTTCTCAGGCACTGGTCTTGGGACAGCCATGGCTGTGTCGCCACAACCCCCATGTGAACTGGAGAACGGGAGAAATTATAGGGTGGGGGGAGGACTGTGTTGGGAACTGCCTCAACGTTTTTAGTCCGGCAGAGGATATTCCAGTGCTTAACCTTGCTTCCGTTAAATCTACCACAGACTCAGAGTACCCGGACCTGAACACCGTGCCCCCCTGCTATCGCCACCTTCGGGAGGTTTTTAACAAGACTAAAGCCATGTCTCTTCCCCCGCATCGGACATATGACTGCGCTATAGATCTGCTTCCGGGCTCTGTCGTTCCCAAGGGCCGCCTGTATTCTGTTTCGGGGCCGGAGAAGGAGGCCATGCGGGAGTACATCCAGACTTCACTTAAAGCGGGGTTGATCCGTCCCTCGTCATCCCCAGCAGGCGCCGGCTTCTTCTTTGTGGCAAAGAAGGACGGGTCCCTGAGGCCCTGTATAGACTACAGCCCTCTAAACGACATCACAATAAAGAACCGTTACCCTCTACCCCTCATGTCCTCTGTGTTCGATCAGCTCCAGCAGGCTAAAGTCTTTACTAAGCTAGATCTTCGCAGTGCCTACCATCTAATCAGAATAAGAGAGGGTGACGAGTGGAAGACAGGTTTTAATACCCCAAGGGGACATTACGAATACCTGGTCATGCCGTTTGGGCTAACAAACGCGCCCGCAGTGTTCCAAGCCATGATTAATGATGTCCTAAGGGACTTTATAGACCATTTCGTGTATGTGTACCTGGATGATATCCTCATTTACTCACCTGACCTTGACACCCATAGAGACCACGTAACCAGAGTACTTCAAAGACTGTTGGAGAACAGACTCTACGTCAAAGCAGAAAAGAGTGTGTTTCATGCCGACACCATCTCCTTCCTGGGCTTCATTGTAGCCCCTGGAAGGGTGCAGATGGATCCGGCAAAAATTAGCGCTGTGGCAGAATGGCCCACACCTGATAGCCGTAAAAGGGTTCAGCAATTCCTCGGCTTTGCTAACTTTTACAGACGGTTCATCAGAGGCTTTAGCGCAATAGCTGCCCCTCTCCATGCTCTTACCACCTCAAAGGTGCAGTTCCAATGGTCTCCACAGGCGGAGACAGCCTTCCAGAACCTCAAGCGTCTTTTCACCTCGGCCCCCATTCTCACCATGCCAGACCCCCGGCGACAGTTTGTGGTTGAGGTGGACTCCTCCAACGAAGGGATCGGGGCAGTCCTCTCACAGCGGTCGGAGCAGGATGGTAAAATGCATCCCTGCGCCTTCCTGTCACAGCGGCTGTCCAAAGCAGAACGCAATTATGATGTTGGTAAGCGGGAACTGCTGGCGGTCAAGGTGGCCCTGGAGGAGTGGCGACACTGGCTTGAGGGGGCTAACCACCCATTCATTGTCTGGACTGATCACAAGAACCTTGAATACATTAAAAAAGCCAAAAGACTGAATTCTCGCCAGGCCAGGTGGGCGCTTTTCTTTAACCGGTTTTCCTTTTCCCTTTCCTACAGGCCGGGGTCCCGCAACGTCAAGCCCGACGCCTTGTCTCGACTCTTCGACCCCGAGCCTGTTGCCAAAGAACCAGAAGCCATCCTTCCACTAACCTGTGTGGTTGGAGCAGTGACTTGGCAGATAGAAAATGAGGTAAAGCAGGCCAATGGTGAGACCCCACCACCTAGTGGGTGCCCCGCAACTCGGTTGTTCGTTCCGGTTGAGCTACGCCCACAGGTGATCCACTGGGCCCACACCTCACTGCTTTCTTGCCATCCGGGAGTTTGGAGGACAATGTTCGTCATCTCCCGGAGATTCTGGTGGCCAGCCATGGAACCGGAGGTCCGGGAGTACGTTGAGGCATGTTCGGTCTGCGCCCGAAACAAGACTTCTTCTACGTCACGCATGGGACTCTTACAGCCACTACCCATCCCCTCCAGACCGTGGTCAGACATCTCTATAGACTTTGTCACGGGGCTCCCGGTTTCACAAGGTAACACCACTGTCCTCACGGTTGTGGATAGATTTTCTAAGATGGCTAGATTCATTGCTCTGCCAAAACTACCCTCCGCCAAGAAAACGGCGGAGGTAATGATGAACAATGTTTTTAAGATCCACGGCTTCCCCAAGGACATAGTTTCGGACCGGGGGCCCCAATTTGTTTCCCGGTTCTGGAGGGCCTTTTGTCGGCTCATCGGAGCGAAGGCCAGCCTGACCTCGGGGTATCACCCAGAGGCCAACGGCCAGACCGAACGCCTCAACCAGCAACTGGAAACCAGCCTCCGGTGTCTGGTGGCCCAGGATCCCTCAACATGGAGCAAGAACCTGGTC